AACTACGAGAAGGAAATGCGGCTACATTGAGCCTCGAGAATCAGCATGCATTCCTGGCCAAAGGATTTATTTAGCGGAACAAATTAGCAAGATGCATGGGGCGAATGAGCGCACAGGTACAATAGAACAAAATAAGCATCAAAAATAATGAGTGGTGATGATGGCAGAGGTGGGGGAACAACGTCTGTGAAAGGCAACATGTTGATTTTCATCTTGGTTGGCTGCTGGAAGGTTTGCAATGCATCTCTTCAGCCACGTCATAAGCTTTTGTTCAACCCACACCCAAAGAGGGAAGACACTGAGGGGCAAAACGCATATGCCCACCTTCGGCCCCAACCCTGCACTCAGCTCTTACAAGTGGTTGCTAGACTTGGGTTACCAGATGTCCCCGTTTCCTGGGGACAGTCCCCAGATTTGTGAATAAGTCCCCGGACAAATTCCATCTCCGGAATGTCCCCGGATTTCATCTAATGTCCCCGGGAAACGCAGCAGCGACTGTCTCAGCAGCCCAGAGCAGTTGGCTCTGGCTGGCTTCAGGAGCTGCTTGGAAGTCCCCATACGATGGTGGTGCAGGGGCTCTAAGATGCAGCTTCCGTGCTGCCTCCGCCTTCCCTGACCCCAGCAACTGAGCTGTGAAGGGAGGCTTCATGCTGCCTATCAGAGCAGCCTCCCAACTCCTACTTGCGTGCAAGTGGAGTGGGGGAAGGGATCTCTCAGTTAGGCAACGGGAAGCCTCCCTTCCCAGCTGAGGGATCCCCGCCCCCTCCTCCTTGCACGCAGGTTGGAATGGGATTGGGGCTGCTCCGATGAGAAGGGAGGCATTGCGCTGCCCGAACCTCGCTGCTGCTCTTGGCCCTCCTTCTCTGTCTTCCATGCCTGACCACACAGCGCTTCCCCACCACCACCACCGAAGAACCAACAATTCAGGGGCTGCCCAGGCTCATGGAGAAAGGAGATAGAAGCCTCGGGGGAAGGGGAAATGTGGCGGTTGAGGTCAAGGCAGCAGCCGCCCCTCTGCCACCGCCATCGCTGCAGCACCAACATCCCGAACGTACCTTTATTTATTTATTTATTTATAGTGTCCCCGGATTCACTGAAAAAAAATCTGGTAACCTTATGCTAGACGCTGTCAGCGCATGACAGTGCCCACACCCCAGGTGAGGCTTAGACTGGCTGCCTAAACCAGGTAAGGGTAGTCGATGGGTCTCAAACCCTCAGTGAGTTAGGGACTTCACCTGCGTGCGAAGACAGGCTTTGGCAGACTGAGTGGACAGGATGAAGAATGGATCCAAAGGTCAAGAAGGCTATTTCTTCACGTGTTGTAGAGGGAAGTGAGAGGCAGATGCGGCTCGTCGATCTAGGAAGGTAGCTCATCTAGGAGAAGGAAAACTCTGGTCCACCTTCTTCAAGAGAAGAAGGAGGCTAAAGAGTAAGAGTAAACCCTACACAAATGTGGAGTGGATTCCCAAGACAGTTGGATGCCTCCTTCTGGCAACTCCTGGACCTAAGCTGATGCCAAACATATTGCTTTGCTTTGCTTTGCTTTGCTTTGCTTTGCTTTGCTTTGCTTTGCTTTGCTTTGAACCACATCAGCAAGGCCAAGAATAACAAATGGTACCAAATGGTATGGGAAACAGCCTTACTAGAAAAATTAACCAATAAACTAAAACTGACAAGGGGACAAATAGAAGACGACGCCCCAGTATGGCTCCCCTTTATCACATACACAGTCCAACAAGACAATGACAAGAATCCATCAACAGCATACGAATCAATATGGCTAACCAAGGGGGCACAGTACATTTTATACTACACAACCCCTCCATCCTCTAACCCCTTCCCATAAGAGGAATGCACAGCTCACTAAAAAGAAATTCAGTATCGACCACACTCATGGAAAGCCTGCAGTTTCAACAACGTCTTAAGAAATTGTGGCTGTTTAAATATAACTTCTCCATTCCCAGTCTCCGGGCCCCTATTTTATTTATAGCATCGATAAGAATTTCTTGTTTTAAGGCATATACTTTCGCCCGCCTTAGGAGCGTTCTTTGTGACGGATAGGTTTACTGAGGTTATCTGCAATGTTCAGATAAGCAATCTTTGAAGCTCATCTTTGGAACACAAACTTCTGAAAAGATATGCTTTAAGAAGGACAAGAAAGAAAAAAGAGAGAACTGCCAGTGGACTTTCTAGAGGGGAAAACTTCAGCCAATGTAGCTCCTCATTCCTGCTGTAGCAGCTTCTAGAAAAGGGCCAGCAACAACGCTTGAGCTTGCATAGGCACCGATTAACAGATTCCCTCTAAACTCATGAAAACTTAGTTCTCAAAGGACTTTGAGTCTCATCAGAAATCCCACCGCCTTGGTTGAGAATGTCAGGTTTGTTCCTTGGGTCACCACAAATGTCAAGCTCTTGGCAGAGTTCAATGGAATTATGGCTATGATGATGCCCACAAAAATCACATTAATAAAGGAAAAGTCGGGGGGGGGGACACTATGCAAACTCCCTTACTCCTCAGCACAATTAGATAACTCAGGGCTACGGCCAGCCAGAAAGCCTGTTATTGCCCATTAATACATAATTCTCCCCCCCCCCCTTTTGGGTCCTTCTTTTTAATATTGGAGGATTTTATTTTTTAAATAATGTGTTAGGCATAGCAAAGGCTTCTCTGACAGTCAGCTTTATTTTCTGACAGCACATTTCATATTTAAGAAGGCATGTGGCAGGCTTAAGTTTTAAAATTTTAATCTCACTGCAGATGGCAAGAAAATGAATGGTGGAATTTCAGTCATGCTTTGGATGAAAAAGGTGGGGGGGAGAAACCCCACCTCCATGATGCTCCAGATTTTGTTGGTCTTTTATTTCACACCCTGTATCTCCCTTTCTAATTATAAGGATCTAGCAGCACAGTTTGTTTGTTTGGGGTAGTGTTGTGTTATCGTTTATTATGGTCATCGTACCCGCCTTTAATTGCTCAGGAATGGCTTACAACAACATAAAAATGCAAAATCAATTACAGCAATTTACAGTTAGAAGAAAAGGTTGGATCTATAAAAGGGACAATGTGGTTTCTCCAAGTTTTGTTTGCGTGACGTTTGAGAAGAATACTCCAAAAATATAAACAGCAAGTTCAGCGGTGCAAGAGGAATGGGAGAGAAAGAAACATGATCTAGGTTTCTGGACAGCTTATCCCACTGTGCTGATAGATATCTGCAACAGTACTGATTTTCTATATATGGTTTTGCATGATTATTTTTTTAAAAATAATATTTATTGAAGATTTTAAAATTACAAAGAAACAGAGAAAAAAGTAGACAAAAAGAGAAATTAAACAATACAAGTCAATAAAAACAAAAATCAAAGAGAAAAACAAATCACATCAAAATCAAAAAGCAAAAATAAACAGAAAATTTAAAAACAAATCCAATATTCCCAAATCTTTACCTTTCATTAACTTGTTTCATGGACCTCCTCACACCTCCCTTTTTTGTATTCTAGTTATTGATTATCACAGCAAATCCTTCCCATTTTTCATAATATTCTGTCATTAAATTACCTTAATCTATTTTAACCTTATCTTACTATAAAAAAAGCTAAAACTTAAAGCTTGAGTCTTATCTATACCAATTTCTCATAACCATGACATATTCTTGCATAGTTCTTTTTAACATTTCTGCTAAAGCCAAATAAATTCGTTCCAACATCTTTTTTAATACTCATTAATTTTAGAAAACATTCCTAAATAGAAGTTTTGAAACTTTCTCCAATCTTCATCCAACGTCTCTTCCTCCTGGTCACGGGTTTTGTCAGTCCTTTCTATCCCATCCATCTAGTTCATTAACCTGGTAACCTTATGTCTGAGGCCCTTAAGTCTCTTCCATGTCCCTTCCACAGATCTTCTTCATATTTATACCCGTACTTTACTTTGTCTTCTGCACCTTTCACACGTGGAGACTCCAGCTTGACAGTATTTTTATCCCTTCTCGACAGATCAGCCCCTTTTCCATAGTCCACACTGAACTCCATGTGGTATTTAAAAACATTTTTCAAAATCCCTCCAAAATTGAGGACCCCCACAACTCCAAACTCCTCCCGACCCCGGCACTTCCGGGTTGGTGCGAACAGCTAATGGCGGATTCTCTCCGAGCTCCGGAGGGAATCGGCTCCGCTGGGGACGGGTCTTGCCGCGACGGCGACGCGGAGACCCTCAAAAACCGCAGGCGCGGATGCCTGCGGACCTGGTGACTCGGTGGGCACCTTAAGCGCCCCCGACCCACGAAGAGCCTTTTAAAGGCTACGGAGAGGGTACGGAAGGCGGCGTGGTGTTGGGAGTAGACCGCTACCCCAGCGGAGCGGAGCCGTGTGCCATGGCTGAAGAGCACTGACTTTTTTCCTTAAATTGAACTCGAAAAGAAGCAACCCGTGAGTAGACTGGAATTCGGACTTTAAAATATCTATCTGTGAATTTGATACGACCGGGGATGTGTTAAAGGGAAGTCCGCACCCCCTTCTGCAGACGATTTAAAGCAATAGCAGGAGAACTAAGTTGGAGAGTCTACCCCTTTGGGGTGAGTTAAAAAGACATTAACTTTCACGATTTGATAAAAGAAGTTTTGAGCTGGAGTGTAAGAGTGGAATTTTAGAAGTTTTTCTCTTGTGGTGTGTAACCCCCCCCTTCCGGGCCCGGGAGCGTCCTGCCTTTGAGCCTGTTGAAGAGGAAAGGAGTTTGACAGCTGTTAAAGCTGTCAAACGGGCAATTTAAAGTAAAAAGCGTGTTATTTAAGATCTCCTGGACTAAATGTGATACAATTGAATTAAAGTGGTTCGAAACAAAGAAACAAAGAACGAGGCAAAGGACTGTTGGGAAAAGATTACTAAGTAACCAGATTCCCTCTAGGGGGGAATTCTGAGACATTACAATGGCTGCGGATGGAAATTTACTAGCTGAAATAGAAAGAATGTGTTACTTTGTGGGAACTTTACAAGAGCAGAGTCTGGCTATGAATAAACAACTTACGACCTTGACTTCTGGAATAAGCAGCTCTGCTGAATGTATTGAGGATCTGAATGAGAAAAAATCTGCAGCTGAACCGGAACAGATATCTCAAGAATTGAAGGAGACTAAACAAGGAAAGGAGAAAGCACAGATGGAAAGTACCAACCAGAAGCCCACACATGTGGATTATAAACAAGAAGACCCTTGGATTACATGGATTACAAATCTGCAAAAGATGCGAAAGATGAAGGAGGAGGCCCTGGAGTACTTGGAATTCAAGAACTTAAAAGAAAGAAGAAATATGATGGGGGCCTCCATTCTGAATATGAAGGACTGGTGGAACTTTTGCAGCAGTTGTCTCTAAGTTTTCTTGTGGGAAGAAAATCTGGCTTGACTGGGACAGAACTCCTTCGAGATCCGAAGACCAACATAAAGGACTACCAACAAAACCGGCGGAGAGGGACTGAAAGAGACTTGAAGGCCTCGGATGTGAGAAATCCAGGCTAAGAACTGCTATTGTAGAAATGTACTTGGGAAGGGACGAACCGGGGATGGGAGGGGGGGAAAATAGAATTTTAAAAACACTTACGATTTTTGGGTCTAGTCAATATGATTGATGCTTAATAAAAAATGGGAAATCGATGGAAGGGAATCTGAGCCCAACTTAGGATAGAATTTAATCTTCTACAAAAGATGTAATATTAACAGGGTAAGGAGGTAAAATAATAACTTGCTGACATAATTATGGGAATTGGGATGTATGAAGGGGGGGAAGTCAAGGACCAAAGTTAAGAAAGTAAGATTTTTGAAATTATACATGTTTTTTGTCTTTGTCTTTTACGTGTGTGTTATGTCTTTATAAAATGTGAAAAACCAATTAAAAAATTAAAAATAAAAAAAAACAAACTCCTCCCGACCCAACGCCAGACTTGAAAAGTCAAAACATCCCTGCATAGGGGGGTCTATCCAGCCCCCCATCTCCAAACCAAACAAGACTCTATCTCTCCAAGTCTGGCTTTTCCAAGTTCATTTGTCAAATCCAACAACTCATGTTCCTGCTGGGCCACAGCTCCCTCCATCTCTGCCACCCGAAGTCCAACAACGATCTCCTCCTTCATCTGATCTGTCAGAGCACATTCCTGATTTGATTCCTGAGTGGGTCCTATATAGGTACCCACTACCTGTCCAAAATTTCTGATCGCAACAGTCATCAAGTCCGTCTTCTCATGTAACTGTTCCAATAGAGCACTTGTTTTACAGAAAGCACGCACCAGAGCCTCTGAGCACATTGTTATACAAGGTCAGAAGTCTATTCCCACGATCTTAAACTGTTGCAGCTGCTCCCCAGTTCAAGTTTAGTAACAATTTCACAAGCTCCCTCTAGGGGAAGAACTTCTCTTTGTATCCAACTCTTTTCTTTTTTCTTTTTTAACAGCAGATCTAACAACAAAGTTTCCTTTTTCAGATATTTTGTCAATATTTGTTCCTTTAAATTGCGAAAGAGCACAATGGAATCACTATGTTTCTCTTCTTTTAACTGTCTGTCAAAAACCTTTGTCTATAGTCAATGAACTTTCCCAAAAACGTCTGTCCTGACACCCCGCTCCCAGGTTCAAGACGGTGGAAAATTACTTTTCTTACACTCTCTTCTGCAGGTTTAAGCAATCCGGAAAAATCCCCCTCTTCTCCTGCTTCCGAATGGGGTTCAGTAATTTTAGATGATGAAAGTTGATCCTTTACAAACGATTTTCTACACTCTAGTTTGCCATGTCTTTGCTTTAATCTATCTACAAGAAACGGAAGGCTGACTTCCTGTTTAGACCTTCCCGCTTCAGTGCCAAATTAAGAGGAATTTCTTAATCCAATTTTCCGTTCTACTCACAGATCGTTGTTTAAAGTCCAATTGTCCAAATTTGATCTGCTCACGGGTAGTTGTTTTGTAGCCAAATTGTCCCAGGAAAAAGGTAGCGCTCTCCGGCAACGGCTGTGCGGCTTCGCTCCACGGAAGAAGCAGTTGACTCTCAGCACCGCGCCACTAACCCCTCTTCGCTCCGGAGCCCGTAATTGGGTTCCTTTACGAATTGGGGGGGGCGCAAAAGGTGCCCGCCGAGTCCCATGGTCACAGGCTTCATCCGCCTGTGATTTTTTAAAGGGTCCCTGCTTCGCCGTAGCGGAACAGACCCGTTTCCCGTGGAGCCAGTCCCTCCAGATCAGAGGGAATCCGCCATTACCGATGGCGTCATCCCGGAAGTCTGGTTTTGCATGATTTTAAACTCTCTTGTAAGCTTATGAATTAGCTGAATGAATTACGAGGAGCTTGTAGCTTGGGACAGATAGGGACAGCCCAGGACCTCCAAACACACAGGCCAGGCTTGTGCCTCAGTGCTGCAAATGCAGCAAACTTTGGGCTCACAGGTTCTTCTGGCATTGGCACTGACGCATGGCAGGGCCTTCTCGGTGGAGGCTCCCTTTTGTGGAATGTTCTCCCTGGTGAGGCACAACTGTTGATTACACCCACCTGGGGGGGGGGGAGCATGTCTATGGGTTTCTTTGTCATAATTTTTTTAAGATAAATATGGATGGTCATTTCTGATACAAGAAAAAGCAGAGGAGCCTTGAAAAGTTTGATTAATAAGGATGGAATAAATTATATTACTTAGCTATTGATTTTGCCTACATCTCCAATGCATACCAAAAAAAAAAGCTTTCTGGTGGTGAGGAAACATATTGGATTTTGTTCCTCACAGGAGCAGAAGATTTAGTCTATTCCTGGCTCCTACAGTACAAACAGAAGTTTGCTGTGTTGTTTGAGCTTCTGGGAACACAGGGAGCATAAATATGAATAGGAGTTACCTTGGCATTTCTGTAAGGCAGAATATAAACACAATGTAGTCTATATATTGCCTCATCAGATCACTGTTTGCTAGTTCTTACTGCTCATTTCTGAGCAAGAATTTGAACACAAGGGCTTCTCCCTCCATGACATCAAAGCCATGACAGACTGGGTGTCTGTCTCATCCAGCAGCAAGCACAATGCAACACATGCATAAATGACAACAAATCCTCAGCAACCCAGAATTGTAGACCCTGACGGTCATCTAGCCCAGCAACTTGCAATGCAGGAATCTCAGCTAAAGCATCCATGACTGATGGCCACCCAACCTCTGCTTAAAAACCTCCAAGGAAGGAGAGTCCATCACCTTCGAAGGGAGTCTGTTTCACTTTTAAGCTGGAAAGGGAAGCACTCTGCTCAACTCACAAACGTGATTATGGAAGGATAATTAACACTGTGCCTCTGAAGAATACAGTAGTACCTCAGGTTACAGACACTTCAGGTTACAGACTCCGCTAACCCAGAAATAGTACCTCGGGTTAAGAACTTTGCTTCAGGATGAGAACAGAAATTGCGCAGCAGGAGGCCCCATTAGCTAAAGTGGTACCTCAGGTTAAGAACAGTTTCAGACCCCCAGAATGAATTCAGTTCTTAACCCGAGGTACCACTGTACACGTAGACATCCAAACTGCCAGAGACCAAGCACATCTCCAGGCCAAAAAACGGAACGCCCCAACAAATTTCTTCACGGTGAACAAAGCAAAGCCCTTTGCACCTCATGTAGAAGGCAGAACAATTGTTTATCAATAGAAGCAGAGGCATCTCAGAATACACAAGATGAAAAATAGGGGCAAAGAGTTATCTTTGCATACATTTTCTTCCAATACAGAAAGGCAATTTCCTCTAACAAAACACATCCATTCAGTGTGAGCGAAGTTGCTAAAAAATCCAAACAAAGAGGAGGGCAGGCCCTGGCATTTATGTTCGCAAGATTTTTATTTAGCTCTACGCATTTCTGAGTACAGTACAATGCTCCTTCAGGGCCATGAAGAGCCAGCAAGTTGTTTGGTTTCAGAAAAAAACAACACAACACAGCAGAGGGGAGAAAATTTTGCTACATCAAGGATAGATTTCAGCGCCTGTGGAGCAGAACAGGGCTTGCATTGACAAGAGCATGAACTTCCGAAGCTTTTGAACAGATCTTGGATGTTCCCACCAATTATTTCCTTCTGCCACGGAGAAGCGCAAGCACCTTGCAATTGAGGAAGATGGTTGCTAATATATTTTAACACATTCGACTGTTATTTCTTACAGAGAAAGGCACATGAAAAGAAATCATCAAGCACCCTCCCTCCCCGAAGTGCAAAACCAGCCATAAAAGAAAGAGAATAGGAAATGGCAGTAAAGTATTTGAAAGTTGCTTGTCCCATTTGCCTCCCATGCTTGGGAAGTTGTGGGGAGGTAGGTTCCTGAAACAGGGCTTGGATGCAGCAGGGGCCTTGAATCAGCAAGGTACTGGGGGGTGCCTAGGGGGAAGGCTGTGTGGTGCAGTGGTTAGAGTGCTGGACTAGGACCCAGAAGACCAGGGTTCAAATCCCCACTAAGCCATGCTGCACACTGGGTGAACATGGGTCAGTCAGCTCACAAATGGCTGTTTTATTAGAATAGTATTAAAGGGGGGGTGTTCTTTAAGAAAAATTATTTTATTTGCTGCTATACTGGATAATGATTTCTGCTCCCATTTTAATATATTCAGGGTCCTGTATTAGACTGAAAGTGACATTTTCTAACGTTAGCATCTATGGATTAATTTGGCTGTTAAATGAGCTCCCGAGGAAGAACAGGGGGAATAAATGTTAAAACAAACAAATTGACTAATTCTGTTCACCAGGCAGCAGTGGCGTACAGTGGTACCTCGGGTTACAGACACTTCAGGTTACAGACGCTTCAGGTTACAGACTCCGCTAACCCAGAAATAGTACCTTGGGTTAACTTTGCTTCAGGATGAGAACAGAAATTGCGCTGTAGCAGCAGGAGGCCCCATTAGCTAAAGTGGTGCTTCAGGTTAAAAACAGTTTCAGGTTAAGAATGGACCTCCGGAACGAATTAAGTTCTTAACCCAAGGTACCACAGTAATTGCAAATGTGTAGAGCCCTGCTTCCCAGAATCCTTTGCAGCGCACAAGACGGAACCAATTCTCAGGAACAGTAAACTAACCAAAGCCCCTCTTCATCCCTCCCCAAAGCAGTCTCTAACATTTACTCTGCAAGATATAGAACAGTTTATTATCCTGCGCCTTCCCAAGTCGTGCTCCTGCGTACGTTTTCTGTTCCACCCGGCAGATACACCTCTTTCAGGAGTGCGTGGTTAATGATAGGCATTAAACTGTACTCCATATGGGGAGAAAAGAAAAGCAAAGTTATGGTTTTGATACACAAAAAGAAAACACTCGCCTGCAGTTTTTACGTTTAAAATAAATACCCTGCAATTTGACGCAGGATCTGCATCAGCCGGAAATGTTGAAGGAGTAATGAGCAAAGGCTTAAGAAAAAAACAGCCAAGTGCAGCTGGAAGTTTATTATGGTTCCCATAATAGCCGCAGCATCTAAACTGTCCTGGAGGTTGGGTCTTTAAGCAACAGAAAGGCTGGCATCATCATAGATGCAAGCTAACCGATCATATGCTTTGAGAAACCCAACTGGAGTGTATAGAACAGAAGTCAACGGGCACATAGAGATGAAGAAATATTATTTGGAAAGGCGTGCGTATATGAATGTGCGTGCAATTTATCTATTTTTATCTCTCTGCTTTGTTGCAAATCGCCCTACAGCTTGCACAAAGGGTGGTGCGTAAATAATCTAAAGAGCTAAGAGCAATCAGTATCACATTAAAGGTACTCAATTCCAAATCCAAATCCCAGGGCTTGATGGAGAGGTGTAGCCATCACCACCTCGACAGCTGGCACTGGCTAAGGTGCAAGAGAGAGGAAAGGACTCCTTGGCTGCACCAGCTAGCATGCTGGTGCTTCAAAGAGACCCAAATTTGTGCCCATTGCTGTTGTGTGAAGGCAGAAGGGTTGGCAGTATCCAGTGCTCCAACCCCTGCCCTTAAAAACCCTGTGTAAGGGGTATCGGGTGGTTGCTCGAGAGCAATCAGGCACGATGCCTCACTAGTCTGTGCTAAAGCTTTCTTATTGGTGCTAAAAAAAGCCCTTGCAAAGCAGAGTGCCTCTATTCCATGCCTTGCTCATTCACTGGCAGAATCTGAGATTGGGCGGTGCTTAAATCTCTCCCAGCAGAGTAGTTTCTTGACCCCCAGTCTGCGCCTCCCGTCTCTGCGCAGAAGCCTACTGCACAGGGACGGCTTGGGTAAAGGGGCACCTCCCTCCTCCCCGCTTTGCTCAGGCAAGGTGTCCTGGCACTGCCTTGCATCCTCCGAGCCCTGCATCTCCTCTCCACTAGAGGCGGGGCTTCCTTCCTCCGCTGAGGAAGTGCTGCTTCCCACGATCTTTGGGGGCTCTCTGTAATCCATCCGGCTTTTCCCCTCTTGCCCCTGCGTCGATGGCAGTTCCCTGACACCCTGCTTTTGGGGTTACTGCTGTCGATAGTCCCCACCCACCTGGTGGATTCACTGGGGTGTTTCTTGCAGGCGGTGTTCAAAATTATTTTGCACCTGACTCCCTACCACTTGTGACAAAGTGAAGGTGTCTGGGTACCAGGATGCTGCCTGACGTCTCCACCACCTGGGGATCATTGGATCGGGACTATTTTCACACACTAATGCCCCATGCTGTGGAAATCTATCGGTTATATTTTATCTGCACAATCGGAATGAATTTCTGGAACCAAAATGCTTTTTTCTGTGCAGCCTGAGCAGGAGCAGTCACCATTAGGGAAAAAGGGTCAGAATAGGCCAGTCTATAGGTGGACTGTCCCTGCATCAAGTGGCTTTTCTTCTTCAAGTTCTCAAAGTTCTTTTTTTAAAAATATTTTTTATTAAACACTTTCAACATACCAAATTATCATTCGAAATAATCAATTGCATTATTTTGCCCCCTTTTCCCTCCCGCCCCCCAAGGACTTCCCTCAGCTCCCCTCTCTGATTTCTTTGCACATATTTGTTCTCTGCATATTATAAATTTGTACATATCCTTGCCTTATCTGTCATATGTTCAACTAATAAATTTGTGGGTGTTTATTCAAAACCTGCCCAAGTCATTTTGTTGTCTTCCTTGAAGTCACGATTGTCCTTGTCACGCAGTTTATACGTCCATTTAGCCAGTTCCAAATAGCTCATCAGTTTTTCTTGCCACTGTTCTTTCGAAGTTCTCAAAGTTCTAGGTTATCATCTGAACCAGCCAAATGTTTCACAGAGAATCAATCACAGTCAGTCCATCATTTGAGAAAACCAAGACTTTTGAGCCGTCTTGCCCCAAAATGGCAGCTAGATGTTCAGTTTTCGTGACTGCAACCTTGGTTTAAGGAGCCATTTGGCGCCTAGCTTATACACCTGAATTTCTAATGCCACTCATAGTTGGGGCTTCCCCACTGTCAGGGAACTGACATCGGAGCTAGAGGTGGAGGGAAGGCTCTCCAATGATGCTGGAGAAGGGCCCAGCAGAGAGAGAGGCAGCTCAGCAGATGGGGAAGCAATTCAGTGCAACACCAGGAATAAGGAGGGGCAGATGGGGGATCGGCGAGAGGGCTCCCAGACTCTTCACCGGACACCAGCGGGGAGAGCACTGGTCCTCCGCTACCCACACCCTCCCTGCGCAGAAGACTTCCGCGCAGAGAAAGTAGGAGGAGACTGGGTGTCAAACAACTTTTATGTTGGAAACGGTTTAAGAAACGCCCACTGACGGATTCTGCTAGCGACTGAGGCAGCCACGAATTGAAGGGCTGTCCAGACAGAAAGGTTTAACAAGGCAACATAGCCAGGAGAGGCGGCAACTTACGCACGAGCAACCCCATACCATTATACCCACCAATGGCAGAGACTGACACAGTTGAGAGTCGTTGGGCACAGGGACTCATCTGACCCCAACCAAAGATCCTCTGGCAGCACAGCATATCAGTGGCTAGAAGTGCCTTTTACCAACTGCAAATGGTTTGACAGCTACGGCCATTCCTGGCCCTGGATTGTGTGGCCACAGCAGTTTTGCACTGGTTACTTTCAAGACTGGATTAGTGCAATGTGTTCTGTGTGGGGCTTCCCTCATGCTTGATCAGGAAGCTGCAGTTAGTGCAGACTGCTGAAGCACCACTGCTGACACCACATGTGAAAGAACATCGGAACTCCCTGCCTACTGATATGAGGCAAGCGCCTTCACTGCGTTCTTTTCGGTGCCTGCTGAAGACATTCTTATTAAGAAAAGCTTGCCCAAGCTGTTTAGAAAGTTTGTATGCGTTTTGGTCGACTCTATTGTGGCTTTCGCTTTCTTTGTGTTTTCAATCACGGTTGTAAATTTATTAGCGGTCATTTTTATTGTTTTGTCTCTTCTGTAAACCGCTTTGAGGGTTTTCTCTACAATCAAGCTGTATGAAAATTTTATGAAATAAAATATTTAACAAGATTCTAGCGAAAAACCCAAAACAAATCCCTGTCTGGGTGGTTTACACAAAACAATACAACATATTCGAAAGAAAGCTGCTCTGTAAGTCAGGAGATTCTCAGCTGAGACAGAGAGGGAGGGATTGTTTGCAGATGGTGCATAAGATATGGCATCGGAAATTGGCTCTTAAGGGAGAGAGAGAGAGAGAGAGAGAGAGAGAGTCTGTCCTTTAGCAGACTTGAGCAACATCTAAAAATTAGAATAGCAACTGGCCTTGCATCCAGTCTAGAATATTCAGGCTCTGCCATCTGGCATAGGAAGGAGGCAAAACAACCCCCAAACCTCACCCCCCCGCAAAAGCTGCACAATATTCAGAAAGAGAAAACATCCCCCTACAACCATTGGTCCCCAACCGGCAAATCACAACCCACATTTGGTCACACGAGAACCACCACTATTTTACAAACTATTGTGTGTAAGATGGCAAGATAAAGTGAAGACAAAACACATACAGGTGGGAGATCAGACACAAACCAAGGCAGAACTCTGATTTTTAAAGAGAATTTTTAGGAGAGATATCCGAATTTTGCACCTAGTTCCAGCTCAGGCTGTTCTTGAGTAACCCAGAGGCAAGCGTCCCAGAATAGCACAGCCTCTGGCTAACTTGGAAAAATCAAGGACACCTGGGAAGGGATTAAAATATGCACTGAACTAGCAGGGAAAGAGCCATATTTTAGTGATACACCCAGAATCATGCACACCACAGGGCAATTAAAGAATGTTACAATGGGTCTCTGTTGACTGTGCACATGACCCTGTAAACATAATCTTATCTATCCATCCATCCATTGGATGGTGTTTGCATACTGCTTAACTGTAAAGTTGTTTCCCTGGTGTTTATTTTTAAACAGTAAGCCCCCTGGGGTAGGGAACTGTCCCCTCGTTCTTTGCAGAGCGCCTCATATATATATTTTCTTTGTTCAAATATTTATAACCTGCACTTTTATAAAGTATTTGGAGGTAGCTCAAGGCATGTAAAATATAATAAAACCAGTTC